AGTGTTTGATCATTATGGGCTGAGAGGTTAAGTGTAAGACCATTGAGGATAATACCTGATGGGCTAATCTTGCATYTGCCCACAGTCCCTGGGTGTTACAAGGTGGCTTGGCCCAGGGACCACTTAGGGTAAATGTTGGGCCCATAGAGCCCAAAAGATGGGTTTCAGGGGGTGCACTATCCATAACAGTGTATTCGGCCAGGCCTTGTAATAAAGGCTAGGCTGGGCTGAACCTATGTGGCTGATGTGTAGATCAATGTTTGGGTCCCACGCCATACAAGGAAACCCAACTGGGCAGCAGTTTGGAAGGCTAAGTGAGTACATAACCTTGAATGGGCCTTAACCCCATTTCGAATTGGGCTGATTTGATCAATCAATTAAAGGGGGTGAATTCTGAGATGGATCAGCTGATAGGATTGGGCCTAGACCCTATCCACTGAGATGGATCTGCAAAATCTCTCTTGCCGCTTCCTTTCTACCGCCGCCATTACCTTCAGTTCGATCTCCAGTTCTTGGGAGAAATCAAGATCTGATCTTGATACCAATCTTTTGAGAAAAGATTGATTGGAGCTATATTCACAAGCCATCCAATTGATTCTTGCGAAGGGTCAAGTTCTTTTAAAGAACATTGCTGATTCTACTCCATCCTGCACTGTGCCATCTTCAGTGGGAGCAGTCTTTGGATCCTTCCTTCGGCGTGAACCCCTCCATTGGGAGATACTAATTCTCCGTATCAGGTACATCCTCCCTCCTACTCCTTTTGGTTCAGATCTGGTTTGGTTCATGGTTCAAGATTGATCATTGAAAAATATTTTTTTCTAAAATAGGGAATTCGATTCCCTGCAAAGATGGGGGAAATTTTTTTGAAATTCGCCCAGTCCATTCCGCAAGACTTGGGCGTCCATGTGATGGATATCCCATCCCTTCAATATTTTGGTAACTCTCACAGCTCTCTCCCTGTTCAAAGTAACGTAATTTGATCAAATAACGAGGCTATAAAGGATGGGAAGTTTGTCCATCTTTGAAGACATGAAAGACCTAGTGGGCCAAATTTTAGAAATTCAAAGCTAGACACGTTTGTGAGGCTATTCAATGTGCAGACTACTTAGTTAATACTAGTACTAGCGGAGTAATCCTTGCTGACATGGGAGTGATACTGGACAAAATGTCTGACATTTCATCGAATAGAGATCATGTTAACAGAAATTGAAAAGAGCTTTTTTTTTTTCCTAATGTATACCAAATAAGCTCCAACTGAAAGAAAGTGTATTTTAAGAAGCCTGAGCAAATACCAAAACTTATATTCTAGGTCATTAAAGCCCTGGAATCAAAATATGGAGTTTGAGCAAAACTGGGAAAGGCATTAGAACATCCATAGGAGAAGCATAAGCCTAAGCTCTAAGTTGGTCTCTTAAAGAGATTGAGATGAGTAGAAGAACAGTAAGCCCTTTGAGCTCCCAAGTTCCATATATTAATTGCATGCTCTCCTGTTGAGAAAATTCAAGTTCACCGGAAAACAAACTGCCAATGGATTGTGAGAGTTGAACAATTGGGTTCTAGATCACGTGGAATCTCCTGCACTACAAAAAAAAAGACTTTTAGTGGCAGTAACTGCTGCTAGAGACTTTACCGGCAATCGGCAAACAGCCGCTAAAAGAACTGTCGGTAAAAGTTTCTAGCGGAAATTTTATGGCTACCGGTATAAATAAAAAATTGCCACTAATAATAAACCGACTATCGCTAAAAGTATTTTTGGCGGCAGTCAATGACATCTTTAGCGGAACTCGTGACTACTGCTAAAACCATATATATTTCTTTTCATATAAGTTTTTGATGATGCACAATCCGGTCGGTCCTGGCTGCCGGTTACCTCACCTCTGACGAGATTGGAGGTGCCTGAAACAAGGAAGAAAATGGAGACTTCCGGGGAGGAACCCGGTTGGAACACTCCGAAGCTCAAGTTAGTGCTCTTGAGGAGGCAAGGGAAATGAGGAACTTTAAGACCAGAAAGCGCAAGAATCACATACCTCMTTCTTTGAGAGATGGGGGCCTTTTATAATCACCCTGTACACTTACTTCCATACCTCTGCCAGTTTGGGTATCATTACCTCCGCCAGATCGGGTGTCATTTCCTCTGCCAGATCGGGTGTCATTTCCTCTGCCAGATCGGGTGTCATAACCTCCACTGCCAGTTGCCAGTTGCCAGTTCAGGTGTCATAACCTCCACTGCCAGTTGCCAGTTCGGGTGTCATAACCTCCACTATTCCTTGTCAGGGCCATCTCTGTCACGTCTGAGATGGCGGTGGCAGGTGGCCGTTGGAGGGCGGATGTCATGTGTCGGACCCCTAATTAGTCAGGTGTGCCGCCTCCGTGGGCGTCAGGTACGGTTGTTCAGTCAGGCGACTTGGAGCCGAAGTGGTGTTCTATGCACCTTGGACTCAACCGGCCTGGGAGCACTGAGCTCACCCGAACTGGGAGCCTCGTGCTCAATCGGGCTGAGGACCTCGGATTTGAACGTACATTCTACAACAAAATCTGCCAAGGCTTGAGCTTTGATAGCGGTTCGGGGCTTGTATTGGAGATCGTACTCACTGAGTTCGATGGCCCACTTTGTCAATCGTCCAGAGACCTCGGGCCTGAGTAATACTTGCCTCAAGGGTTTGTCAGTGAGGACGATGATGGTATGAGTTTGGAAATACGGGTGGAGTTTGCAGGCCGCAATGACCAGCGCATATGCTAGCTTTTCTATCTCTGGATATCTTGTTTTTGCTCCTTGCAATATTTTACTAACATAGTAGATGGGTCGTTGGACCCGATCTGCTTCCTTTATCAGTACCAAACTAACCACTTCGTTGCTTGCCGAGAGGTACAGTTCTAAAACATCGCCCTCTTCGGGCCGGGTCAACACCGGGATGCTGGCGAGGTATCTCTTGAGCTCGTTAAATGCGAGCTGGCAGTTCAGGTTCCACTCGAATCCTTTGCCTTTTATTGCCTTGAAGAAGGGTAGGCAACGGTCTGCTGATTTAGACATGAAACGACTCAGAGTGGCTATTCTGCCGTTTAGCCTCTGAACCTCTTTTACTTCTCGGGGTTGTCTCATATCTAGGATGGCCTTTATTTTGTCCGGGTTAGCCTCAATACTGCGCCGGTTGACGATGTACCCTAGGAACTTACCCGAGGTGACACCGAAGACACACTTGTTTGGGTTTAGTTTCATGCTAAATTGACGCAGAGTTTGAAAGACAAAATGCAAGTCTTGTATTAATTCATGCGAAAGCTGTGTCTTGACGACCATGTCGTCTACATAACATTCTATCTTCATGCCAATTAAGGGCTGAAACAGCTTATTCACAACCTTTGAAAGGTTGCCCCAGCATTTTTCAGTCCGAAGGGCATAACCTTGTAGTAGTACAAGCCAAACTCGGTTATGAAGGTGGTTTTTTCCTCGTCGGACGGGTCCATCCTGATTTAGTTGTAGTCCGAGTAGGCATCCAGGAAGCTTAGCAACTCGTGTCCCGAGGTCGTGTCC